CAGCTTAGAGGGAACACTGGTTATGTGTCGCGATAGAACCGCATGGGCGCTTTTGGGATTTGCCATGAACAAGCAAACACGTGGTCACACGAACCGGCGCAGCTTGGAGCAGAACACAATAGAAGGCTAGGATCCTCGACTGCACCAATAGATAGATGTGGATCCTAGTCAGACCCAATAGGTAAACAATACCTGTAGATAGCCTATTGGAGGACGTGGGGGGTGTGTTGGAGGTGGTGTGTGGTGGTGTGTGGAATGAATATAAGCTGGGTTCGGACCCTGCCATTTGTCTTAGTCTGGGGCTGAAACCACTTTAATAAATATGAGCTGATCACTCTAAGCGTCTGAACCCAGTACATTTCAAATTGCCTTGACTCGAACACTGAGAAAATCTGGCGCGGCAGGCAAAGGCGGAAAGGACCCCAGTCAACGGCTTTAAATGTTGAAGCAAAGGGCTGCCCCCCAAAGGCCCTTCAGCACACCAAGAGTTCAGCTTCCTCAATGGCCAGTCTCAGAGAGGCAAGGGACGTACGGACTACTTGCCCTGTACCCATTCCGTCAAAAGTGGGGTTCAGATGCTACTCACCAATCACCAAAACCTCAGTGCCCTTTCCCGATTTATATTCCGTTTCCGGGGCTCCTGCCTTGTATTTCACACAGTAGTATGTCCCGGCATCATCGGGCTGGATGTTGCTGATGCGGATGCTGTAGTCCGTGTTTGACCCAGCAGTGACCCTGCCCACTTGGGACGACGGAGGTGCTGCTTTATCGTTGTAAACGGGAGGCTGGCCTCTGTCCGAGCCTTTGTACCACCTGACGCCCCCCGGTGGACCGAACCCTTTCAATGTGCAGTTGAGATCGAGAGTCTCTCCCGTGGTCACCCTCAAGGGCCCCTGGGTCTGTAGCACCTCCAGCTCCTGGCTTCTGGCACCTGCAACACAAGGACTATTATGGTCTTCTGTTTTCTGCACCATGGACCCTCTTTGCTATCCCTTCATTGCTGCTGGACTTTCCCAGCAGAGACCATCATTGCCAGGGCCGTGGGGGGTCCCCCTCCCATCCCTGGATGTCCCTAGAGGTAAACGTGGGGGGAATCTTCACACTGTATGTTGGTACCAGCCAGGGGTCATTTCCTGCAGGAGCGCGCAGGAGCAGAGCTCCGGCAGTAAAGAGCCCAGGGGGCGGACACATGCAACAAGCCCCACCCCCTGCTCCCAGCAGCCCTTAGTCAAAGCGAGAAGCAGCCAGGTAAGTTGCAGAGCCCCCCCCCCCAGATAGCAATCCAAAACAGTCCAGTGGCACCTTTAAGGCCAAGGTTTATTCAGGTACAAGCTCTCCCTCCTCTGTGAGGGCAGATCTGCGCGTCCGCCCGCCCCATGGCTAGTAATCCAAAGGGTCCAGTGGAGCCTGAGCGGTGGGTGTTGCCTTCTGACACATTTCCGGTGATGTCAGGGGGTGTGGCGCAATGCTCCCTCTAAGCTGTGGAGTCTCGTGAGCAAAAATCCTACTTTGTGAGCTACTGGACTTAAAGCAGTGGGTGAGCCATTTGGCTGCTGCATGAATTAGTGTGCTCTGTAGCCGTCCTTCCTGAGCTAAGACAAAAATGGTCGAGCCAGAGGCTAAAAAACTGTGAGCTAGCTCACACTAACTCACCTTAGAGGGAACTTTGGTGTGGCGTATGCAGATAAGTTATGCTAATGAGTTATGCTAATGATCTCCTGCACCTCTTTGACTATGAAATGACCCCTGGTACCAGCAGCGGCAAGCAGGATGCCACCAACAGGAAACGGGTGAACAATTTGGCCTTTCAAGAAGACACGCAATCTATACTTGCTGGCTTCGAGCTGGAATAAGCCAGGAGGTCCAAACGCATTTCTGTCCTGATATTCATTCTGCTCTGGTTTTTACTGCATCCGGAAATCTGAGCCTTGGGAAAGGGGTCATTCCAAACACTCACCAAGAATTTGTAAGAGAAGGATCAGCAGAGAGAATTGAAGCGGCATCTTCGAGGAGGGGCTCACGGCGGACCTCTGGGAGCCGTGGCCAGAGACCCATCTGTGCTATTCCTTGCAACACCACTTTTTGGGTTGCTGAAGGAGGAAGTGATTCGCCTGCGACTCTCACGCCTTCTCGCCGGGTCCATGCAGAAGTACGCGGCTTGGAGGTTTCTTCTTGTTCTTCACTGAGATGAGAAGGAAGTTCCAGAATAGCTTTAGGAGGTTTGGTTGCCCTGGGAGGCGAACGTCTTGGGGATTGTGGAGAAAGCCTCTCCACCCTAGCATATCAGTATCCCGAATGTTGGGACTGCACTCTGTCCATGTTCTAGAGCCCAGCTGCAAGTTCATAGCTGGCAAAAGAAGAAGAAGAAGAGATTGGATTTATACCCCGCCCTTCACTACCCAAAGGAGTCTCAGAGCGCCTTACAAGCTCCTTTCCCTCCCCCTCCTCACGACAGACACCCTGTGAGGCGGGTGGGGCTGAGAGAGCTCTGACAAAACCGGCTCTTTTTCAAGAACAGCTCTTATCAGAACTATGGCTTGCCCAAGGTCATCCAGCCAGGGGCAAGTGGAGGAGTGGGGAATCAAACCTGGTTCTCCCAGATTAGAGTCCACGCACTTAACCACTACACCAAACACCAAAAAGGAAAGATGTCGAGGGAGGAGTCATCAGACCTCAAGCACGGAGCACTTCAGGGTTTGGTTGTGCACATGGACCTGACCTGAGTAGAACCATGGAATCGTAGAGTTGGAAGGGGCCTC